CTCTTGGTTCATGGGCTGACGCTCAACCACTGAGCCACACCAACCGGGCCATTGGTTGATTCTTGTATGTGCCACATTGATGTTTCCATCTCTCTCTCCCTCTCTCTAAAAAAAAAAGAAATCAATAAAAACACATTTAAAGAATAAAATAAAAATAAAGTTTCCATATTTAAGATAACATTTGTAAATTTTTTGTAGGTGCTCTTTTTTGGTTTACCATTCAATTTCTAATTTATTCTCCTGCATTTATTAAAATGTTCATGATTTTGCCTGGCTGGTATGGCTTAGTGGACTGAATGTCGGCCCATGGACTGAGAGGTCCCGGTTCGATTCCCGGTCAGGGCACATGCCCGGGTTGCAGGCTCAATGCCCAGTAGGGGACGTGCAGAAGGCAACCTATTGATGTTTCTCTCTCACATCGATGTTTCTATCTCTCTCCTTTATCTCTCTAAAAAAATGAGTAAAAAACATATATTAAAAAAAAATGTTTTTGATTTTTTCTCATTAATCTGTTATTATGGTGAGTGATAGCTATAGATATTCTAACATGTAAATATAATATTCCTGGGATAATCCCAACCTGATCGTGGTGTATTGTTTCTTTTATTCATTATTGGATATTTTTAACTCTTTTTTTTTTTAAGGACCTGAGCATCTGTATTCACAATAAAATGGATCTGTATTATTCTTTTTCTGTTCTTTCTTTATCTGGATTTAGCACCAAGGCTATAGTGGCCTAACAGAATTAGCACAAGGAGAATATCTCCTCTTTTTGTATGCTCTGGAAAAGGTTGTCTAAGATTAGAATGACGTGTGCTTAGAAATTAACAGAATTTGCCGCTAAAACCACCAGGGCCTGGTGTTTTCTGTGTTAGAAATTGTTTACTGCTTCAATGTTTAAAAACTTTTTATTATGAAATAATTATAGCCTCACAGAAAGTTGCAAAAACATGTACTGGAAGATCCTGTGTAACCTTCACCCAGTTTTTCCCAATGGTAACATCTTGCTTAACTATAGCACAATATCAAACTAGATCAAAACCAGAAAATTGCTCCCCTCTCAACTGGATTTGTACTGCAATAAAGGATGCTTTCTGTAAAAAAAAAAAAAATGAAAAATTGGCCTTGAACAACCCACACAGCATACTCAGGTTTCACCAGTTTTGCATGCACACATTTGTGAGTATATGTGTGTATACTTTTACGCAGTTTTATCACATGTGTAGATTTGTGTCACCACCACCACAATTAGGATACCGAGCTGTCTGGCTGGTGTGGCTCAGTGGTTGAGCATCAACCCATGCACCAAGAGGTCACTGGTTCGATTCCGGCCAGGACACATGCCCAGGTTGTGAGCCCGATCCCCAGTGTGGTGCATGCAGGAGGTGGCCAATGGATGTTCTCTGTCATCGATGTTTCTAGCTCTCTCTCCCTTTCACTTCCTCTCTATCTAAAATCAATAAAGGAAAAAAATTTTTTTAAAGATACAGAACTGTTCCATCACCACAAGCCTCCCTTCTACTACCCTTTGTAGCCATAGCAACCCCTCCCCCATTTCTAACCTCTGGCAATCATTAATTCATTCTGTAATTTTGTTCAGTCAAGGATGTTATAGAAATGGAATCGTACACTATGTCACCTTTCAAGATTAGTTTGTTGTTGTTTTTTTGTTTTCTTACTCAGCATAATTCCCTTGAGTTCTATCCAAGTTATTTTATTTTATTTTATTTATTAATTTTCAGAGAGTGAGAAAGGAAGAGGGAAAGAGAGATAGAAATATCGATGAGAGAGAACATTGTTTGGCAGCCTCCTGCATGCCCCACACTGGGGATGGGGCCCACAACCTGGGCATGTGCCCTGAGAGGGAATCAAACTGGTGACCTCTTGGTGCATGGGCCAATGCTCAACCACGGAGCCACACCGGCCAGGCTATCCAAGTTATATTACGTATCACTAGTTTGCTCCTTTCCACTGCTGAATAATAGTATTCAGTGGTATGGATGTACCACAGATTCAACCAATGAAGGACATTTAGTCTGTTTTCAGTTTGGGGCTATTACAAGTAGAGCTGCCATGAACCGTCATATACAGGTGTTTTGTTTTGTGAACGTAATTTGTATTTCCCTGAGATAAATGCTCAAAAGTACAATTTTAATCATTATAAGATTACTTGCCTTTTTTTTCCTTGAGTCAATTTTAGTTATGTTTTCTAGGAAGTTGTTCATTTCATACCAATTTGGAATTTATTGGCATGAAGTTCATGATAGTTTTTATCTTTGAAATCTATGTTTCCCTGTACTTATATCCCATTTTTATTTATATTATTTACTTGTGCTTCTCTTTTTATTCTCATTAAATCTTATAAGGCATGTGTCTAGTGTTAGATTTTTTTTAATTGTTTTTCTTCCTCTTTTCCAGCTGGAACCATGGAGATTCAGAAGAGAAGAAAAAGAAGGTCCCTGCTGTGCCAAAAATCCTTAAAAGAGTGAAGAAATCTCAGAGAGCTGAAGATCAAGCATCTGAGAAAGATGTTTGCCCAAAACGTGTTTTGAAAGGCAAGGAGGAAAGTTATCTACGAAAAAAACTAAGCACTATCACAAGAAATATAGGCAGACGTACAGACTGAGATTCTAATGGGCAGAATGGCAAGAAAAGCTGGCAACTTCGATGTACCTGCAGAACCCAAACTGGCATTTCTCATCGAGATCCAAGTACTGATGGTGTGAGCTCAAAGGTCTGAATGTTGGCAGGTCCCTTGTCTTCAATGGCACCTTTGTTAAGCTCAATAAGGCTTCAGATAACAAATTTTGGAAAAGGTACCAGAACTTAATGAATTTATTTACAAGTGTGATTATGGCAAAATCAACAAGAAGGGAATTGCCCTGACATAACACATTGATCAACATCATCCATGTGTCATCTGCATGGAGGATCTGATTCATTTTGTAGAAGGAGGAGGTGCTGGCAACTGGGAAGACCGGATCAACAGGCTTATTAGAAGGATGAACTAAAGTGTCTACCATGGGTATTTTTTGTATACCCATGGTACAAATGTATACATTTGTATACATATTTTGTGTGGTCAGTTAGTAAACAGTAGTTGCTTTCAACTTGAAAAAAAAAGAACAATTTTTTACTTTGGTTGTATTTAATTGATTTCTACCCTTAGTTATTTTGGTTATCATATTCTTAAGACTGTGTCCCTGGGTTTATTTTGTTGGTTTGTTCTTTTGCATTTAGCTCATTAATTTTCAGCGTTTCTTTTTTTCTAATATTAATATTTAAAGCCATACGTTTCCCTTGAGACTCTACTTTCTCTGCATCTGCAAATGTTAAATGTAGTATCTTAAAATAATTAAGATCTGTGCATTTTTATTTCCAATGTGATTTCTTCGACTCGACTTATTTCTAAATATACATATATTTTTCTTTAAATTTCTAAATATACATATATTCATTTATCTTTTTACTAATAACTTCTAACCCAGTAGTGTTTGTTTGTTTGTTTGTTTTTGGTATGTGCCCCTAGCAGGAACTGAACCGGGTAACCCAGTGGTGTTGTAATGTGTTCTTATGATAGTTATTTTTTAAAATATGTTGAGACTTACTTAATGGATAACACCTAATTAATTTTTAATAGCTCTACTGATATATAATTTATATACCATATAATTCACCCATTTAAAGGGTACAATGTAGTCTGGCCAGTGTGGTTCAGCAGTTGAGCATCTACACATGCACCAAGAGATCACAGGTTCGATTCCCAGTCAGGACACATGCCCAGGTTGTGAGCCCAATCCCCAATAGGGGGCTTGCAGGAGGCGGCCAATCGATGTTCTCTCTCGATGTTTCTATCTCTCTCTCCCTCTTACTTCCTCTCTCTCTAAAATCAATAAAGAAAAAATAAAAAATAAATAAAAGGTACAATGTAATGCTTTTTAGTGTCTTTATAGACATCTACAATGACCATCACAGTCAATTATAGAGTGTTTTCATCATCTCAAAAAGAAACCTTGTATCCTTTAGCTATTATCCTCCTAATCTCCCTTTTCCTACATTCCCAGTCTAAACAACCACTAATCTACTTTCTTCTCTATAGATTTTCCTATTCAGTATTTTTCTATTATAGGAATCATATAATATATAGTCTTTTGTGACTGGCTTCTTTCATTTAGCATATTTTATGGATTTTTTTAGCATAATATTTTTAAGGTTCATCCAAATTGTAGTATGTATCAGTAGTTTATTCCTTTATATGACCAAATATTATTCTTTCATTGTATTTTGTTCACCTGTTGGTCTATTGATAGATGTGTGAGTTGTTTCCACCTTTTGGTTTATATGAATAATGCTACTGTAAACATTTATGTACAAGTTTTTGTGTGGACATATGTTTTCATTTCTCCTGAGTATATACCTAAGAATGGAATTAGTTAGTCATATGGTAACTCTGTTAATGTTCCTTGTTTGAGGACCTGCCAGACTGTTTTGCAAAGTGACTGAATTATTTTACATTTCCACCAGCAGTATATGAGAGTTCATATTTCTCCACATCCTCATCAATACTTATGACATGATATTTTTAAATATTCAAAGAACTTGAGAAGAATACATGAATCCTCTAACGAGTGAGTGCATTAGTCTACATAAGTCCATTGGGAAGAGTTGGTTAATCATATTGTTCAAATCTTACACTTTGCTGATGTTTTTTTGGCTGCCTGTCCTATCGGGAAAGATGTATTGAAACACTCTTATATGAAAGTGGATTTAGCAACTTCTCCATATAGTTCTATTAATGTTGGTTTTGTTTATGTTATTTTATTAGGAGCATATATACTTAGAATTTTTACATCTTCTTGGTGAACTGAAATGTTTACTATTATAGAGTGATTTTTTTTATCCCCAATGATTTTTTTTTTTGTCTTAAAATCTATTTTTCTTCTGATTTAAATATAAGATTACTTTTGGTTAAAAGTTATCTGAAAAGTGGTTGTTTTTTAAAAAATATGGAACGCTTCACGAATTTACATATTATTCTTGCACAGGGGTAATGTTAATCTTTTCTGTATTGTTCCAGGTTTTAGTATATGTGTTGCCGAAGCTAGCACTTTTTTTTTAAAGGTCTTTATATATATATATATATATATATATATAATTTATTTATTATTATTATTATTATTATTATTTTTTATCCTCACCTGAGGACATTTTTCCATTTTATTTCAGACAGGGCGGAAGGGAGAGAGAGGTGAGAGAAACATCAACGTGAAAGGGACACATTGAGTGGCTGCCACCCACACAACCCAACCAGGGCCAGGGTACATGCAACCGAGGTACATGCCCCTAGCAGGAACCAAACCTGGGTCTTTCTGGACCGCAGGCCGATGCTCTAACCACCAAGCCAAACCGGCCAGGGCATTTTTTTAAAAAAGTCCAATCTGACAAACCGTAACTTTTTTTTTCTTTTTCATTTATCTTCAGGTAGAGTGGGAGGAAGAGAGATAGAGAAACATCAATGTGAGAGAGACACATTGAGTGACTGCCACCCACACAACCCCAATCGGGACCTGGGACAAACCACAGCCAAGGTACGTGCCCTTAGCAGAAACCAAACCCAGGACTCTCTGGTCTGCCGGACAACATTAACCGCTGAGCCAAACCGGCCAGGGCAACCCTAACTTTTAACTGGTGAGTTTTATCCCTTTAAACTTGTTGCAATTATTAATATATTTAAACATTTCTACCTTCTGTTTTATCTAACTTGACCTGCTTTGTCTTTGTTTTCCCTTTTTTTTTTCTATCCTCACCTGAGAACATTTTTGCATTTATCTTCAGATAGAGTGGGAGGAAGAGAGAGAGAGAGAGAGAGAGAGAGAGAGAGAAACATCAATGTAAGAGAGACACATCGACTGGTTGCCACCCACACGACCCCACCCGGGGCTGGGGAAAAACCACAACTGAGGTACATGCCCTTAGCGGGAATCAAACCCGGGTCTCTCTGGTCTGCTGGACAACCCTCTAACCGCTGAGCCAAACTGGCCAGGGCTTCCCATCTTTCTTTTTAAACCTGATGTCTGGCCCAGCCAGTGTGGCTCAGTGGCTGAGCATCGACCCATGCACCAAGAGGTGGCCAGTTCAATTCCTGGTCAGAGCACATCTGCAAGTTGTGGGCCAAATCCCCAGTGAGGGGCATGCAGGAGGCGGCCAATCAGTGTTCTCTCTCATCAATGTTTCGGTTTCTCTCTCCCTCTCCCTTTTTTTCTCTCTAAAAGTCAATAAAGGAAAAAAAAATGTTTAACTTAAATAAAGTAAACCTGATATCTGTATTTTTCCTTTAATAAGATGAGAACTTTAGCATGCTTTCATGTTTCTTGATATCTCCTTACTCATAATAATGATACTGTCTAAAACTTTAATTCTGGGTTGCTATGAAAATAATTTTTCCTTTTTTGGAGAAAGAGGTATTTAGTTTTTTTTTGTTTTGTTTTGTTGTTTTAAGGCTATAGGAAGCCTTTCCAAAATTTTTGATTAACCTTACTTCTCTTTCACAGCATCTCCTGGATTTGTTTTTCTTCTGGAACTCTCTCCAAGAACATTTTCTATGTGAGTCTGTGTGGCAATACTTTGCATGCCTGAGACTCTTATTATTCCACATTCACATTTGAATGATAATTTAAGTAGTTCCAAATGATTATCCTTTAATTCCTTATAAGATGTATTCCATTATGACCTGTGTCTATTTTATCTAGCACACTACTCCATAGCACAACTTTCTATCATAGTGTTGTGGTCGAAGTCCTTTTTTTTTTGACTTGGGTGAAAGAGAAAGAGAGTGAGAGAGACATTGATTTGTTGTTCCACTTACTTATGCACTCATTGGTTAATTTTTGTATGTGTCCTGACCAGAAATTAAACCCACTACCTTTGTGTATTGGGATGTTTAACCAACCGAGCTACTCAGCCAGGACAAAAAGTCCAATTCAATCCTATTTCTTTTTTTTTTTAATCCTCACCTGAGGATATTTTTCTGTTTATCTTCAGATAGAGTGGGAGGGAGGGAGAGAGAGAGAGAAAGGGAGAGAGAAAACATCAACATGAGAGGGACACATTAACTGGTTGCCTCCCGCATGACCCTGACCAGGGCTGGAGGCAAACCGTAACCGAGGTGCATGCCCTTGGTCAGAATCGAACCCGAGACTCATTGGTCCGAGGGCCAACACTCTACCACTCAGCCAAACCGTCCAGTGCTCTTTTTTTTTTTAAGTATATTTTTATTAATTTTTAGAGAGAGAAGAAGAGAGAGGGAGAGATAGAAACATCAATGAGAAAGAACATCAACTGGCTGCTTCCTACATGTCCCCCACCAGGGATTGAGCCCACAACCAGGGTATGTGCCCCGAGCAGAAATCGAACCAGGGACCTCCTAGTGTATGGGTTGATGCTCAACCACGGAGCCACACGGGACTGGCCCATCCTATTTTTTATCCCTTTTTAAATTCTCTTTTATTTTTTTCTGACCAGAAGCGTTTAGAATTTCCTCATTTAAAATGATATTCTAGCCCTGGCTGGTTTGGCTCAGCGGTTAGAGCATCGGCCTGCGGTCCAGAGAGACCCGGGTTCGGTTCCTGCTAAGGACACATATCTCGGTTGCAGTTTGTCACCGGCCCTGTTTGGTCGTGCAGGTGGCAGCCACTCAATGTGTCCCTTTCATGTCAATGTTTCTCTCTCTCTCTCTCTTCCTCTCTCTCCCTTCCACTCTATCTGAACAAAAAAATGGAAAAATGTCTTCAGGTGAGCCAAACCGGCCAGGGCTTATCATTTCTTTTCTTTTCTTTTTTTTTTGTGGTACGTGCCCCTAGCGGGAAGCAAACCCGGGACTCTCTGGTCCGCAGGCCGACGCTCAACTGCTGAGCCAAACTGGCCAGGGCCTCATCATTTCTTTTTGGCACTTCACGGGCCCTTTCCATCGGCTATCTTTCATTTTTCTTTAATGCTGCAAAGTTCTTTCTTTCAAAGTATTTTTTTCTCTAATATTCCTAAATTAAAAATGTTGGCACTTCCACTTCTTTCCTCCATGTTTCACGTCTTTTTTTCTATTTTCCTTTCCTTTATCCTCCCTTTATTCCTTCTTGGAGGCTTCCTGAAATCTGACCTTAAATCTCAATCATATTCTTCAGCTATCTCTAACAGCCATTTATCCCATCTATAATGTCCTTTATTTCACCTACTATATTTTTCCTGGCTAATATTTTCACTTGATTCTTCTCTCTCTCTCTCTCTCTTTTTTTTTTTTTTTTTACTTTGTTTATTTTATTTTTATTCACTTGGTTCTTCTCTTATAGTTTATTTTTCATATTGTTAATACTTTCCTTATCTTTTTAGTATATTTATTTTCCCTATGTTAAATCTTTGTGCTTTTTCTTTTAAAGACCTCTGTTTTGGATAATATGGGCAATCAAATTATCATGTTGGTTTTTCTTTTGAAGTAGTTATATTCATATGATATCTTCTTAATTTGGCCTGTCAGCTCCTGTTTTCCTGGGGTTATTGACTCCTCTGCCTGGAAATGCTTCTTGGGGAAGGGGGAAGGGAAGAAGGTCAGCTCCAGTCTTAGTCCCAGTGAACAGGACAAAGCCCTTTGGCTTTACCTTCAAACCTCCAGAAACAAACTGAAACTGAACATTGGGGTTGGCATGAGCGGGAGTGAAGACGTTAATGCCCAGGGCTGCTCAGGCACCATCTGCTTCCCACTATCTTTTTTCTCCCCACTATCTTGATTTGACCACTGTCACAGGTCTAGGTCATGACCCCAGATTTCTGCAGGAAGTGGCCAGGGAACAGCTAAGCCAAGGTGATGGTGCAGGGGAGACAAGAGCAGAATTTAAACACTTCTTGCCCTTGTCCATGGGATGTTCCTCTCTTTCTCTCCCTTCCTCTCTCTTGCAAATCCATAAAAACATATCCTGGGGTGAGAATTAGAAAGGTACTTTATTTTTTTTTTAATTTATTTGTTTTTATCCTCACCCAAGGACATTTTTCCATTTTTGTTCAGATACAGTGTGTGTGTGGGGGGGGGGAGAAACATCGACATGAAAGGGACACATCGAATGGCTGCCACCTGCACAACCCAACCAGAGCCGGGGACAAACTGCAACCAAGGTACGTGCCCTTAGCAGGAACCGAACCCGGGTCTCTCTGGACCGCAGGCCAACACTCTAACCGCTGAGCCAAACCGGCCAGGGCTAGAAAGATACTTTAGAAAAAGAAACTGCTTCTTACTAATTTATACTTTTATAGCCCTGCACGCTACCCTTTGTCTCAAGCTGCTTGTGTGTATGTATACAAACCAATTAAAGAGCTTTCCCAGGGGTTTCTCCGTTGCTTTGGTTCCTTATCTTCTGGATCTGTTTCAGTTTGAGTTTCTTGGGGTGGGGAGGGTGACTTGGGGAGGAAGCAGCAGCAACCACTTTTCTATTTTAGTAGAAAGTAAGCCCTGGCCAGTTCGGCTCAGCGATTCGAACGTGGGCCTGCAGACCAGAGAGTCCAGGTTTAGTTCCCACTAGGGGCATGTACCAAAAAATAAAAATAAAAGAGAGAAAGGAAGAAAGAAAGTGAAAGCATGTGTATAGATTTTTGTTGTTGTTGTTAATCCTTACCTGAGGATATTTTTTCATTGAATTTTTTAGATAGAGTAGAAGGGAGAGAGGGAGAAACATCGATGTGAAAGAGACACATCTATTGGTTGCCTCCTGCAGGACCTGGACCTGGGAGGGGTGGGTGTCAAATTGCAACCGAGATACTGCCCTTAACCGGAATTAAACCTGTGATTCTTTGGTCCGTGGGCAGACAACTCTAACCCTGAGCCAAAGCGGCCAGAGCCATAGTGATATTATTAATAGCCACAAAGGGGAAAAAACCCAAGTGCTCATCATTTGATGAATGAATAAACAAAATATGGTATATCCATACAATGGAATATGATTTAACCATAAAAATGAATGAAGATACAATGTGGATGACCTAGAAAACATTATGCTAAATGAAAGAAGCCATAGAAAGCCAAATATTGTAGGATTCTATTTATATGAAATGTTGAATAGACAAATCC